TGACTGCACATCCAGTTGTTCTTCCGGGTCTTCTTGAGTCTGGGATGTAATATGTAGCTGGTCTATCTCAAGTTGTGAGAGCAGCTTCTTCACTATGTTGAAGCGTTGGATAACTAGCTGTTTCTCAGTTAGTGTGGATGTAGGTCTTCTGTCCATCCATAGTTCCCAATATGTTTCATATGCCCCTCTCATTAGGTCTACTGTTGTAGTAGCATTCCATCACTTCCAGGTTCTCTTGTCTTGTCCATGTATGGTTTGTTCCAGTAGCCCACTTATTGTCAGATTGTCCTGGTTCCCCAACATCTGGTGTGGACCTTGTTAATCTGGGTGACATCTGAGCAGCATGATTCTCGTAGTTCGTGTCACTCTCATATTCAAGGTAGGCAGGTGAAACGTTAGGGGGTCTTTGCCCAAGGACCCCTACTGGTAAGGTAGGAACCCTGGTCTCCCATGTCAAAGGGCGGCACTCTAACCCCTATGCTATCCATCCACGCATACACATACACACACACACACACACACACACGTTTGTTCTTTGTTTTAAAAAGTGGGCTCTAGTAGTGATTTTCTGGCATTGATATTAAAAACATTGATATTAAGACTCCATTAAGACTCTAACATTCTGCCACCCATTCTTAGGTTGCCAAGAAAATAAATTAATACCTAATCCTTTATACTTTTATTTGTTTGCAGTTTATAAGTCCATTCCAGTCAGAACAGACTGAGCAGTGTAATCAAGCGAACTTTTAATTAGAAGGAATAAATAGAACCTCTCTGTGTAAAATAAAATAACTGTCAATTGTTTGCATTTTAAATTAGGCAGAAGATCAGGCTAATCGGTTAAAGGCACAGGCCTCCATGATGGCTGCAGTTGCCTGTGCCCCTGGACCAAAGATAACAGTTGTGATTGGTGGCTGTTTTGGAAGTGAAAGTTATGCTATGGTAAGATTGCTGAACATCCTGTTTGCTTGGGATGGTCTGAGGATTCTTGCTGTTTGACTAGAAGACCTTCAAGATCTCTTCCAACCCTATGATTCTATGATTATTAATACTTCAGGTTGTCACCACTTTGTGTCTATAACCAACTTGCCTTTCCTAATCACCAGTTCCAAACATTCGCAGCACAGCAATGTTTCACATTTTATATAATGAATGAACAATCTCTATCATACAATAAAAATAATGTAAAATAACTGATACTCATTGCACCAATGAGTAGCCCTGGAACAAAAATGAACCCCCCTTTTTTTTTTACAGCTTTATGATAACTTTCTCATAAAATATGCACATATTAATTAGTGCTATAGTTGTTGCAGTCATTTTGTGTGTCTAATGTGGAATCCCTTAAGTATTTTTATGCAAATTATTAAGATAAAATTAAGTTTCTTTGAAGTGAAGATCAACTCTTGGTGATGACATGGACTCATCCATGTAATTTCCTTAGCATGGAAGTGGTTCCTTACATGGAAATGGTTTGCCCTTTCTTTCAGAATGTTTTTTTTTTAACTTACCAATTTAGCATGCACCCTTGCTATTCTTGGATATCTTCCATCCAAGTATTATCAGGCCTGATCCTACTTAATATTTGAGACAGGTGCTGCCATTATGTTTCATAGTCTTTCTATGTTTTTTTAATGTTATCCATAAATAGACAGTTTGTTCAGCTAACTTAAAAATGAGCTTTGTTCTGAATTCATTGCTTTTATGTTGCCCTTTTCAGTGTGGAAGATCGTTTGATCCAAACTTCTTATTCCTTTGGCCAAATGCAAGAATTGCCCTTGTGGACTCAAGACGTAGCTTCACATTCACACAGATCTGGAACAATGACTATTCAGAACCAGAAATAGATGTAAAATTATTAAAAGGAAAGTAAGTGTATTAAAAAAAATAAAAGCATCAACATTATGATGGTTACATACAGTCAGGTCCAGAAATATTGGGACATCGACAC